CAGGAAACAACCCTTGCCATCTAATCTCATTTGCTGCCACTTGAACCGTAAGACAGTTATTGCAAAATCATAACACTTCACTATTCAAACAGACAGAGTTTTTATGGCCCTCCAACTGAATTTTACGCCTGCCACTTATTACAGAACATTACCTTTAAGAGAGGCTTGCAGCTGGTATTGATGACAGGCAACAAGACATTTGTCACCTATTCTCTTGGGCAACAATGATCCAGGTGCAAACACAAGTTAGCAGATGCTCATTGGAAGGAAAGAAGACAACTGTTACTCATTTGTGAACGAAAGTGCTCCTGATTTGGTTTTGCATGCGTGGCATTTTCAACAGGAATAAGAATCACTCAGCTAATCCAAGTCAAAAGTGGCAATTTCCACAGGCTATACTTGGAGCTACATATTCAATGGTAGGACGTGGGGAAATTTGGCAGAAATACTGAAACAAGTTAGGAGCTGCAGAAATCAGTAATTTGGAAGTTGTCACCTGCATGCTTAAAGATTCAAATTAGATTGCACCTAGGCAGATATATTGTTATCAATATTGCTGAGGTGCCCATAATATGCTGTTTCCATACAGTCTTGTCTATCATTCTTTGAACATTTATCTCCTAGTCGTGCTTTCTTTCTGAAAACACATTTGAAATAAAGGGAAAGGAGATGCCTAATGGGACTAGCAAACGCATTCAGCAGAGCACTTCCACACTTTTTGCAATTTTAAACAACTGCACTGCTTCTTGTGGGTACCCAGCCAGTCAACGTACACACCGCCTATCAGTACCAAACTTCTGCATTGCTACTTTTTATTTAATAGAACAGTTGCAAACATTGCTAAAAGAAGCCTTAAGGATTGCCTAATTACATAAGATGGCAATAACACAATATTCTTGACTCTAGAATGTGTCTGCAAGTGCATGTAAATGCTCATATGACAACAGCAGGATATCTTGTTCTGTTCAAGAAGCTGAGGCTGTTTGACCAGATCTCAGTTTTCAGAAGACTGGAAGCAGATTGCTCAGCTCAGCTCTTACTGCTTTGCTCAATCACAGCTATTTGGTGATGGCACCAATAGCTTATTTCCTAGATAGCTCTGTGATATAAACTCTAAGAGGACTGTATGTATTTCCACTGCACTGACCGTGTCTTTATTAAAACTAAGACATGAATAATTCTTCACCTTATTTGAACCTAGCAAGAGCCCACAAGTAACTATGTGGTAACCAACGACTACAGCTTGGAAGGGACTAAACAGTAAATGCTGCAACCTTGTTAAATCATGAAAAATTTATTTTCATTACATATACATGAAGGTAAAAGATTTCAGTCAATAGTGTTTTGAACAAGCATTTCTGACATGAGCCTGTTAGTGTAGCTAGGCTGAAACTTAATGCAAAGTTAGTGTTTTGCCTTTATTTAGTAATTCACTTTTAGTGTGTATATACAGAATTCATTTTCCTGTTAGAATACCAGAGACAGTAATATCGCAACATTTACATTCCTCATATAAAATGGAGTAATGTACATTTTCAGCTTGGTGTAGATACATAAATATGTACAAAATAAACATTATTGTAATTAACATATTCAGACCATTTATTATTTAGCAACATCAAAAGCAGATGCACATAGATTTAAGTGAAAATGGTGAAAAACACTTTTATGACATTAGTGACCATTATTTGCATATATGAAGTAGTACAGATAAAGGCTTGCCTTTCAAGCCTTCTGTGGGCATCCAATAACTTTAGTAAAAAAACAAAACTAATTGAGAAGCATAAGATAATTATATATATATATGTGTGTGTGTCATGATCAGATGGTTTACTAGGGTCCATCTTGATCACAAAAGGATAACAATGTAAAACATACACATTTGTTCAGAGCATAAAATATTGCACAAAAGCAATTTCTTTTGAGGAAAATAATTCCTGTGTTTGTGAACAGCAAAACTGCTTCTTACACATTAAAGAAATAATATATTTGCAGTTTCTAAACCAAAGAACATTCAATAATACTGTCAAAACTGTCATCCATCAACTTCTTCCCAGTCTGTTTTATGGCAATGGTATGTCATTAGCAAGATTTGGCAAAGAGAGAAGGCAGATAGACAGTACATGTATATATTTATCACAGGCCAGACCAAATCCAATAGTTACGTAAACCAACTGCTGCATGGTTTCAGTTCCCTCACAATTTCAGCCTTAAAGAAATATGGAAGTCTTCAGTGCTAGTCACAGTGATAATCACACAGTAGTAGAGTAAGATTCTGTTCTTCTCTGCTTAGAAACCATCTTGTCTGAATTCCCAGTCTGAAGGGCACTTTCCTCAGTATCACTGTCACTGCTGTCTACAAGTGTGTGATCCAAAGACATCTGACCAGTCCTTCTGGGAAGATGAAAGCTCACCCCACTCTCCTGTATGGAGTTAGTTATAAAATCTTCATCAGAAGAATGAAATGATTCATCATCTCCTGTGAAATGGTTGACAATGTGAATCCCATCAAAAGTGGGTTGGTCTGAGAAGTTTCTCTGGCCTTTTAGACATTTGATCTGTTAGAAAAAGTGGAAGTTGACAGTTAATCACAGCTCAAGGGTCCAGCAATAAAACACCCAAACAACAAAAATCAAACCAGAAGAACAAGTGCATTTTCAAGAAATGCCTCATTGAACTCTTAATGGATAAAATGAAACATCTGAAAGTAGCACATTTGATGATCACTTCAACTATTACAGTTTTAAGGCTTAATAATCAAGGTACCTAGAATCAGTAATGAGAGATTCTGCTTTTACTGCATCTTTAATATCCCCACAAGAATGGTTTCCATCTCCTAGAGTGGCCTACTTGTTTCAACAGCACTTTTGGCCTTAACATTTTACTTTTACAGCTCCATTCTTTCTCATATTGCCTGATTTCTTACTTGAGAAAGCCCCCCCCTTCAATGAACAGGGTCCCAAGTAAATCCCCAAGGGTATGTTTAGTTCAGTCTACATTGTAACATTGTCTTAATTATCTAATTCAGATCCAATGAGATTTCACATCAAGTAGTATGAGAGAAACATCTCAGTACAGTATAAAGAGATTGTAGCTGCAATTTTAAGAAAACATCAAACAAGAGAAAAATTATTGTCTGACCACGGACAGAAAGCATTTTAATTCAGTGTGCAGCAGAGTGATACACAATTTCAACCATGCATTCAAACTACTCAAAACTAAGACACAAAGCCCTGAAGTTTGGCAAGTCCCCTATTAATTTAATGAAAAATAACTGCAACTCATGGAAGACATTCTGAAGGTTGTTTGTTTTTGTGATGTTTTGGTTTGTTTAATCTAGAATTTCATTCTTGTTAGCTTTTAGTAGAAAATACCTCAGGGTCAGTTTGACAGTCTGAGATATTAAGATAAAAAATCCCAAGGATGCAGTTAAACATTAAAAATGGATTACAGAACCTTCCTAATGTCACTCTAAAAGCTTAAAAGATGCACCTATTGCTAATTTGGAAGTGGCTTTTTACAGTAAGAATAGAAGGAATAAAATGCTGAAGAGTTTCTTTACCAAAATCTGTTTGATGTTTCAGAAGTCTGAAGCAATATTCCTTTGATAAATAAGAAGTGCTTGTATGTCCTCAGTTTTGCCACTAATAGGAGATTTTTACATGTCCATTTGGGGAAGAAAGAATCTCTGTACTTACCATGGGCTTGTGCAGAAGATGAGAACAAAAAAGGAGTTGAAAAAAGATCACAAGAGTCATAATCATGCTAGAAGCCATTAAATTGCATGTTAGCATGTAAAAACTCCAACTTTTGATGTTATAGCAAAAAATCCCTGTTAGGACTATGGGTACATGATGTAGATCTAAATCTTTGTGGTTACTATGCATACTAACATTAGTTTTTTGCATTTTCTTCGCATACACATAGGCTGCTGTTGTTTCATGAGGACTTTGTATAAAGACAAGAAAAACAGAGTTCCACACTTGTACAGCATAACTCATGATGCAAGCAAAACCAGCTTATATAAAATAAAAATATATCTGGAATAGGTAATTTTTACTAGCTTATATACCTAGATTCAAAAAGCCTGGTACAGAAATTCTTGTGTTATTTAGAAATATAATTCCTGAAAATATCCTGCAATATGATCAGATTAGCTACCACATGAATTTTCCAAAACAGCTATCAATTTTAGTCACTAGGAAAATAAAACACAGAAACCCAACAATTTCTCTCCACCCTTACCACAGGAAAAAAAAAGAACTGCTGTACAAGTGACCAGAAACTTCATATTAGAGTAAGAAATTATATGCTTTCAGGTCTGTACAGTTAAGCCATTGGTTCACCTGAAATTATAAAGCTGATACTCAAAGTTAGTTGTTTTGAACACTCAGAAAGCCAAGCCAATGACCTCAACTGTTTTCCTGAAGACTTAAACATGATACCTTTAGATGAAGTTATTTGGGTAACATGACAAAATCATGGTTTCACAGTTTTAGGCAGCAACTGTTCTAAATAGGAGTCTGTGGAAAATGCTGTTGGAGAAGATAATGATAAATAGACACAGCCTTTGCCAGTTCCTAAAGGGAGTCTCAGAAAACACTTTGTTATCTTCGTGCATCCCTTCGTTAGAATAACAAATCTCTGACTTTCCAGAAACATTTCTGATCTGCAGCTTTACGCTTGCCTGCCTTTTTTCTTAAGCACTCCTCGCATGCAAGGGGAAACAGGCTGTGAAGAAACATTACATACTGCAGACAATACATACCACACATTTATCAATGGTCATACAGCTCCAGAATTTCTGTCTGCTTCAGAAATGGCCACCTCAGGCAGAACACTGTGGCACAGACATTGTTTGTATTCTGAGGGTCAACAGGCTGGAGAGCAACACTGCTGGAGAGGGCCGTGGGGTCCTGACGCAAGGAAGGCTAACTCGGATCCACACCATCCCTGAGCAGTGAGCAAGGCTAACAGCACGCGAGGCTGCACTGACAAGGGCAAGTTACTTTCACAGCTGAAGATTAAGGGGCCGTTCAACCTAACATTTGTTCAGGAGCATTTCGGAAGCAGCTTGATTATTTGGAATTTTTACTGCAACAAGAAGGATTTGTATGGCTTCTCAAAGTATTTGGAGCAACTTGCAGAGAGCCTGCACTCCCATGCAATTAAATACCAGCGGCTAATGCCAGCCTAAAGCTTTAAAACTGAGGTTTCCTAAAATTAAGTTTTTTTACTCTCATATAACTTCACAGTCTAGCAAGTGAGGCTCTACACTTCTAAAGGAAAAAGCAGTATCTTTTTTCAAGGGAGGAACATTACTGTCCTACTGGCTCAGGGAAGCAGTCCATCTGCCCAATGTGGTGTCTCCAACAGTGACAACAGGACGTTCCTATTACCAAGCCTCCATTGACTTGGCCAGAAGCTGCTGTAGCAAATATGAGTGAAATCTTTTTCTAGCTGCTTCAGCATATGTTTATAGATCAGCTGTCCCTGACTGATCATATAATTTGCTGTCTACCTCCACATCTTCCTGTGGCAGTAAATTCCAGAAACTCCTTTATTTCTTTTAAACTAATCTACTTGTTTTAGTAAGTGCCCCCAGATTCTAATAATTCAGGAACAAGTGGTGAAAAGCAGTTCTGTGGTAATTATTCTGAAACTTATATCATAGTACCTTCTTCAGTTTTCTCTCTAGAGCAGATGACTTCCAATCCATTTTAGCCTCTCATAAACAGGTGTTAATCAAGACAACCATCATTCATCATAAGTTCCCTTTAACTTTCCTACAGACCTTCTTTAAATTCTTTACATCCATCTAGAGGCCAAGTGGCAATACAACTCCCTTTATTTGGTTTTTAATATACTTCCTATTAATGCCCAATGTTGCCTTGTCTGATTTGGCTGGGGCTGCATGCTAAACCAGTGTCAGAGGACTCAATACCAACATCTTTCCTGATTTGTAACTACCATTCTGTGTTTGCCATTGTGTAGATATGGCTTAGATTTTGCAATAGACAAACAACCACCTTATTCACACTGAAACTAATTTGTCAGTTTTTTAAGACAGACTTGAGATTCTTGTTGTCAGTGTTTCACTTGGACACAGGAAAAGAGCTTAAGGTAGGAACTAAAGCATTAGGCCAAGATCTTGCCATTCATCTAGCCAAGCATATTCAGACAATGGGAAATCCAGCTAAGGACTTGGAATGCAGGACATGTGGACCCAACCCAAACACTCCCCCCATACCCTAGTTCTACTCTATACTTATCCCTGAAGGAACTACAGCCATGTTGAGCAAAGTATGGATTTGCACCCCAGGGTCTCTTAGTTTCTCTTCTCTTTTATACAGTCGATATTGGTTAAAGGCTTTCAGTTTTGGGTCTGGCCTTCCTTCATGTGAAGGGAACTAGATCTCTGTCACTCCAACAAGTAACATTTAAAGGAACCTGGTTTTTACTGCTTCAGTTTGCAAGAATCTCAAATCTGATCTCTAAAAAAAAAAAAAAAAGAAAAAAAAAAAAGCAACCAATAAAAAACCAGGTCTGGTAAACCCCATGTGTTTTACTTTTAATTCTCAAATCCAGGTCATATTGTCTAGATGACTGCAGCTTCAACCTAGTTTTCACTACAACACATTCACACGGTCTTTAGGACATTTCAAAGGGTTAATAATATTACGTGATCAAAATATATATCATCATTATCCCTCCAAAAGCCAGCTGAATCAAGGACAAAATCTTAACAACATGCACATTTATGTACCTTCTTGTGTCTAAAGAATTCCGCATTTTAAAGACAAGCTGTATGTCTGCTGGTCAACATATGAAAATACTTAACTGTACATACTCTTAAGAGGTAACAGTGTACTTCCACAAACACAGAAGAGCTGAAAAAGGCTAGCAATCAGATCCTTGAACCTTAAAATAAACTTTCTTACCTGATGCTGACTGCCTCATCAAGCCAGGCATGAAGGAGAAACAGTAAAGAGAAATTTATAAGTTTTAAACAATTCAAAAGGTGTTGCATATTAAATCATAGAATCAAGTTTGAAGTGTGATAGTCAGTTGCAAGCAAGTTATATTTCTAAGTGCCTTTGGGTTTTTTGAGTAGGGAACATAGGTTAAACTTTCAAGTGGGACTTTGTGAAAAAGTTCAGCTTAAGCTCTGGGAGACATTTTTATGTTGTAACCTGTGAGGTTTTAAGCGAGGAGTTGAGTGGTGAAAAGTGGAACTAAAATGCTACTGTCTACTCCCTTTAAAAGGTTTCAATCAGTAATTCTTGAAATCTACTCAATTCCAAAGTAGTAAAGACGGGTTTCAACAAAGCTTGCCAATAAATATTAAATCTAGTCACAGTAAGATAACCAAGAAATACACAAGTGAGATGGAAACGTGAGCACTGCCTTGGGTGAATAAAATTGGTTTTGGCAGAAGGCAGTATGTAACATTTCAATGTTTATTTAAAGAATCAATATACTGAATTCTCAGTGCTTTTACTTGTAAGAAGAGGAATCTAAAAATCAGAGTTCCCTCTTTATTTGTTCTAAACTTAGTAACATTTGAAACACTTAATAAGATTTCCTACTTAAAACCCAAACATGATTCAAAAGAAAACTAGAATGTTGCTGAAAATATGATCTAACCACATTTAGCTGAAGAAACAAGTCATAAGGATTTTCAAATATCTTTCCTATAATTCAGAAAAACATTGTCAACTTGGCACCATGAAAATAGAGATTTAGAAAATAAGCCAATAAAAAAAATCAGTCATGATCTATTTAATTATAATCACATTTAACATGAAAAAAAGCAAATTAATTTGAATTCTTAAAAATTCCTGAGACTGTCCACAGCATCTAATGGGATCCCTTATCCTACTTAACAGCTGACTGCTACTTAGTGATGACTCTCCCATTGTAACAAGATCACTCCAGCTAAGGCATACAGTAGTACACTATCATTTCTTTAAAAACACTCCCACTAGCTTTTTTTGGAAAAATGCTTATCGCAGCAAATCAAGGAGCTGGAGCATCTCCAACAGAATTAGTAGGAAATATGTTGCCATTAAGGACATAAATATCAGTCCAGACAAATATTGCATCCAGCACGTATTACAATTACCTTCCCCTGTACTCAGCACTGGTCAGGCTGCACTTCAAGTGCTGTTTTCAGACCTGGGCCCCTCAGTTTAGGAGGGATGTTGAGATGCTCAGACACATCCAGAGAAGGGCAGTAAGCCTGGTGAAAGGTCTAGAACACAAGCCCTATGAGGAGCAGCTATGGACACTGGGGTTGTTAAGGCGGCACAGAAGGAGGCTTATCACTCTTGACAACTCCCTGAAAGGAGGTTATAGCAAGATAGGGGGGTTTCTCCCAGGCATCCAGCAACAGGACAAGAGGACAAAGTGTTAAGCTGTGCCAGGGGAAGTTTAGGCTGGACATTAGGAAAAAACGCTTCACTCAAAAAGAGTGCGTGGGCATTGGAATGGGCTGCCCAGGGAGGGGGTAGAGTCACTGTCCCTGGAGGGGTTTAAGGCTGGATGCAGCAGTTAGTACCATGCTCTAGTTGATAAGGTGGTGTTAGGTCATAGGCTGGACTCAATGATCTCAAAGGTCTTTTCCAACTTAGTTAATTCTATGATTCTTGCAGTTTATAAACAGATTCAATCTAATATAGCTGTGGTATCATTTATCCACTTCTCACTTCTTCGAGCAATTGCAGCAAAAAAATCTTGAAACTGGCAAGAGTAGCTCATCAGAAATCAGAGCAAGCAGTAAACTCCAGGCTGGATAATCCTATTGTAGGCCCAAGCCAGAACAGTGGTGAATGACAATATTAAATACCTGAACAGACCTAGGCTCCTTTTTCTGGCTGTGCCAGTATGGCTGCTATTCTTAAAAGTTTAAAAACCCACTGAGTTTCTGGACTGACTTTTTTTTTTCCTTTTTCCATCTACAACAGGCTTGAAAGCAACAGTCATAAGATACTACTGCATTACTTGAATCTGCCCTACTCATCATTAGCTCCTTGGAAACCAAGATTGTGTATGTGATTAATTACTGAAGTCTCCTGTTTAAGGAAACTATTACCTTTGTTTTTGAAACTCATACTTTTAAAAGGATGGCCAACATATTGCTGTACAACCTGAAATATTTATCTCAAATTAATTTTGCTGACCATACAACTAAAAAGAGATAAAACCCCTCCAGTGTGTTGTAAGTGAAAAGCCAAAGAGCAGCAGAGAATTTCCAAGACTGAGTAATTTCAGGCTTTGGGGGTTTTTTTAACAGCATTTAAATATTTGGCTTCTGTTTTAAATTGCCAGCTTCCGTAAGTCATATTCAGTCTAAGAGTAATACAAAGTATATTACAAAATCCCTATAACTGTCAGGAAGCTTAGATACATCTACAGAATAAAATCTACTGGAGCTCATCTCCAGTTGTCCACATGTTTATTTCATACTGCTCTGAATGTACTCTTAAACTTCTTGACTCAGGTTTTTATAAAAAATGTGTTTTTTCAACATTATCATTTTGAGAGTTTTCGAGCTAAAATGAAATATGATGTTAAATCAAATGTAGGTTGTATATCAGTTTTACCATAGACAAGTCTGCTGCACTGTAAACGTGACAAAGATTAAAACCAGCAACAAGTGTTCAGACCAGAAGGTTTCCAGTGAATCAGAACAGGAAACCAATAAAGCGATCAATGGGAGGTCATGACTTTTTGATCACTGCACTATATGGTTAAGTATCTGGCTTTGATCTAGTGCAGTCTAATCAAGTTTAACTTTGAAGTTAGGTATCAAATATACAATTGAAATAGCAACAGTGCTGAGGAATACCCAACTTAAATGCAACTTTGAAAAGAAGTCAGTATTTAGTAACTGTGCCAGGTTTTATCTCTTGAGGGAGTTTTTGTAAGAGCTGACAGGTTTGTTGTAGCGAGACTGTGTGCAATTCCAAAGGAAGTTCCAGGATAACAGGCCTAGGAATTTTCCTTCTACCTACTAGCTAGTTATTTATAGAAAGTTCTCAGAAACTCTTTCTACAAGAAGCTGCAATGGAAGTGTTTGTTTGGTATGAGGACACAGCAACAAAAATATTTTAAAACAGCAGTGCAATCACACTTAATGTACTGCAATTACTACAGTCAAGAAAACACCTAAATCTCTATACTCCTTCTCCCTACTGTATGCATCTATAAATACAAATGTCACTGAAACCTCAAGTATTAACTAGAATTTACTGGCTGATAGAGACTGAAAATGCACCCATTACAGGCAACAGTTACAGGAAATGAGCATTTCACACTTTTACTCTGTCATTTAAAAGCAAGACTTAAATTCAGCATTTTTAAATGGACTAAGTAACATTTCTGCCCCTGATTGCAGAAACTATTTTCATCTGTGCTGGCTGCCACTCAAATTGATAAAAGAATTTTAGGAGGTGTTTCCACCACATTTCCACTCTTTGCCTGCTTATGTTCAGGTAAGCTTACAGAGACAAACAAACTAACAGAGCAATCTTCTCCTGAGCTCGTTTTGTCCCAGAGCTGGCACCTGTGTATGGGTGATAATACACAGTTTTTGCAAGGAACAACTACTCAGATAAACCAGTAGAACCTCAATTCCTCCATTTTTCAATCCCCAGAACTTGATTTATAGGCAGAAAAACATGACGGACCCTGAAATAGCTCTAATCAATAAAGCAGACAGGTCACACAGCTTTAACACTCAAGAACATTATAATGCCATGATAAAGAAAACTTTATCTCTAATCAGTTTACTTGCTTTGGCAATCCATACAAAATTTAAAGGACATAGTGTAATTAACTATAGCTAGCTATATTTATCTCTAATGCTGCAATCAAGAACTATTACACTGCTCAGCAAGACAGATCTGGAACTCTGATGTGTAGGATGCAGTCAGGACAAAGAAGGGGGGAAATGTTTATAAAAAGAGCAATCACCAATCTTCATTTATTTTAGCACTGAATTCAGTCTGTCACTAGTGGCAGTGAAACACTTCAGATTCATACCAAAAACCATTGCCCTCATCCAAGTAAACAAAGTCATACCTGTTCCATTTAAGGACACACTACACCACTGTCCTGGTTATATTGATCACATTTAGAGGTTTTCTTCACCCTCACAAGGGATGGAAAATATTTTGTTGATGGTGTTACCAGGAGAGAAGGGAGAGGAATCAACCTTATCTGACACAAAGATGACGATTCATGGAATGAAGACCATCATTATGGAATCAATACTATCATTTAGAGCAAGTGTAACATGTCTGTGTTAATTGCACTGTGACCACACAAAGTTAATTGAATTTTAAAAATGATGGTCATAAAATATACATCTGCCTGTCAACTGCTTGAGATACTTTCTAAAGGTAGTTGCTTTATTAAGGGCAATTAAATTGGAGAAAGCACTGAATAATTAAATCTCTCAATCAGTTCAGTCTTTCAGTAATAATCTGGGTATTCTCAAGCCAATATAACATCTCTAACTCTTTTAAGGACAAACTGAGTTAAAGGAATAAAGCAATTCACTTTTCTCAAGTACAGAGTATAAATTTAACTATCCTGTGTAGACAAAGCTGCTACATTAGATTGGGTGTTTACAAACCACATGACCTCACAAACGCTATCTTATCACATCACAGGTTCCTCAGACTGACCACAACCACTTAAATCAGACTCTGCCAGCACAGAGGTTCTGTAACTTTGACACACGCTAGTAAAGCAACTACATTTTTTAGCTGTCCTTGCAAGAGCTCTATTTGTGGGGAGGGAAAAATCTGATCATCTCTTGTCCAACTGTTCTTGCAAGATATGGTAAAAGAAAAGCACATGATTTATTGTGCTATAAACTTCCACCACAAGCTGAAATGCTTACTTCGTAAATCTGAGGGCTAACATATTTCCTTTCAGGGACA